GAGAGAGAGAGAGAGAGAGAGAGAGAGAGAGAGAGAGAGAGAGAGAGAGAGAGAGAGAGAGAGAGGGGGGGAGAGGGACAAAGTATATATGCGCCCGGTGCGTGCGTATACTGGGTGTCTCAGAAATGGCAGTCGATACTTGGGGAAAGAAACAATGCGGGACACAAAGCGACACAATTTCATTTTTCAAATTGTTGACTTGTCATTTTAGATGATTACATTATATTATTATCTGTATATAAAAAGCGAACTGCTTGCTGTGTGTCATTTTAGAGTTACGTTGCATCACATACATTAGGATTATCTGTATAAAAAATAAATTTCTTGCTATATCAGATCGTTAGAACTTTATCGGTAAGATCGTTAGGACTTTATTTCCTTAATTTCTTAAATATTTTTCTTAGATATTACCTTTTAATTATTATAAATTTTAATTATTATAAACCTTTTAATTATTATAAACTTTTTAATTATTATAAATTTTGAGAGATTTCGTTTCGATAGATTTTAAAAACACGGAAATTTGACGAAGCATAAAAGAGCTGCTTTATTACTTTGTTTATCGTTTTATGTAAAAAAATATGCGTGCATTGTAAATTTAGTAAATAATGAGTAAATAATTTATCCTAATTAAAAGCAAGAGTTAAGGAACAAATTAATCTCAAATTTAATACTTCAGCATTGATATTCCGAGCAATGATAAATACGGCTTAATGAACAATAAGGTTTTATGATTACGGTCTTATTGTTCATTAAGCATTGTCATTCTGAATGCTAATGCTGAAGTATCAAATTTGAGATGGTAATTCACTTCTCGATTCATGTCATCATATCGCGGTGCACGAGCGCTTTTAGTAGATTATTCGAAAGTAGATACCACGTACACAATCCTTGAAACTTTTTTCACAATAGCACGATACGTCATCATTCTGTTTATCTTATCTTGCGAAGTTTCTCAGGTTTTGCAGGTATTCAACGCAGATATTTTATTTTTCTTGTTTTTCTTTTACCATAAATATTTTATAATGTTTAATGTCACGTGTAAACCGTCGTGATAAAACTTAACGCTCTCGCGTAACACGTCACATGTATGTCACGTGATCATGAAGAATGGATAAAGGATCAAGGTTTAAAAATCAAACAAGTAAAGTATATTTGAAAGTATGTATTTAAAAATTCTTTACACACACACACACACACACACACACACACACACACACACACACACTTCTCGTGAATATTTTGTCAACGCGATTCGTACGCTTCACTTGAAAGTAGTGACCAATTTAAAATCCAGAAGAATAATCAAGTTTCGCGTAAATAAGATTCCGCGGAATTTCGCAGACGAAGGAGGAAAGGACTCCTCGAGTCTTCCCCCTCGGTTTCGCTCGAGTACCGATTACCCCGTTGCTCCCCGAGCAGCGTTGCTCCCCCGAAGTATCGACCTGTCCTCCTGAAACCGCCTGTATACGTGCTCTCGTAGGCGTCCGTGGGGGCCGCAGCGCGGATCCATCCACCTCCACTACCACCTCCTGGCCGCCGCTTCGTGCGAGTACGCGGAGAGAAATATGGTGGAGTGGAAGGTTGGCATACCGCGGTGAGCAGTCGAGAAAGAAACGCGGCGGGGGAGGCGAGAGGAGGTGGCGGAGGTGGCGTGTAGTAGTATAGTAGGTAGAGAATATCTCGGGAAATCGCGCTCCCGTAAAGTGGAACAATGACAGCCATCTGCGGCGGTAGACGCGGCGAGAAAGAGAGAGAGAGAGAGAGAAAGAGAAAAGGAATGATATCGGGACGCGCGAAAGAGGCGGCGAGAAAAGGCAAGACGGAGAAAGGAATCTATTTTATTATTTGGGATAAGCCGCGTCGGCGGGAGAGAATTGGAGGGAATGGATATAACTAAAATGGAGAAAATAGAGAGAAAATGCAATCGCAATGATAACGCAAAGGATATCATACAAAGAATAATAAGATAATAAAACAACACTTTTACAGAAGTTGTAGAGGAAAAATGAGATCGTAAAGTAGACGATTTGAGATGATGATAGAAAGAAAGAGGCTCCTCACAGAAGAGTGAGTTTTTCTCGCTTGCTACTTCTTTAATTGCATCGCGAAACACCGAATAAATTCTCGAATAGATTTTGATTTTAGATATTTATTTAGTCTACAATAATATTCCATCATACTGTCTTTTAAACTTACATTAAGAAACATTATAGGAGGATTATGTAAGCATAAAAAATGCGCAAATAAAAATGAAAAAGGAGATCTAAAAAAGAGAGATCTATTTCCATATATTATAAATTTTTATATATTTTTTCTGCATCACATATTGACAACGATTTACTTTTTTTTTTTCTTTCTTGATTTCAGTCCTTGGCGCTTTTACTCGTGTCTAGTTCTCTTACGGTGCCTCGATCGGGTCAGCTGCGCGTAATTCCCTCGAGATCTCTCGTCGTTGATCTCTCTCTCTCTCTTCCTTTTTCTCTGTCTCTCCTTCCTTTTCTCTCCTCTCCTTTTCTATCTTCGCTTCTCTTTGCCGCATATTCTTTGGCCCGGCTCTCTCGAGCCACTACTATTCGCCGCTCGTTTCTTTGTGCCTGCCGGGGCAGTTTCAGGCGCAGGTAGCACGCTGGATCTTTTTCCTCCTTTGAACAACACGACACACGTGTGCGTGCGTACGTGCGTCCATCCGTCCGTCCGTCCGTCCGTCCGTCCGTCCGTCCGTCCGTCCGTCCGTTCGCCCGTCTGTCCGTCCGTACATGCGCGTCCTCGCAATACAGACAGCTGTGCGTGTGTCAGTTCGCCAGTCTCATAGATAGGAGCATGCTTGACACATTCCCTGCCGAGAAAATATTTTTAATAAACAGGAATGTGCGTGATTAAACAAAAAGATTTTCGAACATTAGAAGGCACGTGTACTTGTTAGACCAAGTGAAGGATGCTTGACGTACAAAAAAAAATTAATAACGATTTTAACAACGTGAATGATTCGCGGAATATTTTAATAATATCTAATATATGCAAGATGCGAGCGGAATCAAATACTTAATACTTTTTTTCTCTTGATAGTTTTTACCTTTTAATTTTTTATCTTTTTAAATTACAAGCTCGAGGAAGGAGTGGAATTTTTATATACTTTTCCAGTGTCTTGTTTTGCAATCTTTGTATTGCGCCGTTATTATGCAAGATAAAGATAAAATTAGTAAGTTACACCAAAGGGAACAGAAATATCAAGGGGGATAATCCGTATCCTGTGTATCTGCATCCTCTGATATTTCCATTGACTAAATGAAGTTCGTACAAACATGAATGCGAGAATTATTTATAGATATTACACCCCGCCTCGTTTATAAATTGCCAGTTCCCGTTTCCTCCCGTTTAATTATGGCAACAAGAAATCACCGAGAAATAAAGAGAGAAACGCAGAGCAACGAGGCAACACCTAAGAAAGAAAACGAGCGAGTTTGAATTTCTATTAACTCTTAACATCATTCTTTGAGATTCGTAATTCATAGTCAGTTCAAGCATTCGTGTATGTGTGTTTATCTATCTCTTCAAAGTTGTAAGTTAAACAATATCTCTGCATATTTAAGCTCCGGCTGCACCAACGATACTTTGGCTTTAAGCGAGACTTAAAATTTCAAGTTTGTTGTATCAAAGCAAAAACAAAACTTAGAGTTTGTGTTTTAATTTTTGCACTGATCTTAATAAGATAAGCGCAAATTGAAGTATTTTTGGTGTCGCTTCTGCTTTGGTACAGCAAATTTAAAATTTCAAGTCTCGCTTAAAGCTCGCCTAAAAGCCAAAGTAACCAACGGGTCCAAC